AATGAACCCCCTTTTTGTACTCTCTGTATTTGGTTCACAATGCAAGGCACTGCAGGTACTATGCTTGAATATTATCTTGAACTAGGTCACGTTTCTTGCAAATCTCTCCGAGAGGCTGTATTCAAATCACTTCTCCATTAACACCCCCAGCCTGCTCCTCAGGCTCTGCCAGGAAGGAAGGATGTTATGTGAAGCTGCTCTGGAACATGAAAACGAAGTCTATTGATCTGTATAACAGGAGTATTTGTACATGTAGGGAAGGTCAGCAATTCCAGACACATTTGCAACAAAAGTACTTTTAAAATACCTTAGCATACCACACGCTCTAGCAGAGGATAGAGCCAAGCACATACTGTCCTAAAATATGGAACTGGGAGAATGGTTTGAAGTCACAGTCAAGTTCCCTGCTCTATTAAACTCTGACAATCCCACTGGAATCAAAAGGCAGCACTCAGCAAGTGATCCCCTTTTCACTACAGCCAGTTTTCTTCCCTCTTGGGGACTCTAGAAGAAACTATTTAGTTACCTAACCTTTGCTTTTTAAGGCTGAGAGTAGTCAAGATTCAGATCTCAACCAGGCTGAACCAGTCTTTCAGTCTCTGATTAAACAAACAGCTGACAATTTTCCGGTCTGAAAAAGCTAAACATGGTCAGCCTAATTACCTGAAGTGTCAGGCACAATGACTATTTATGGAAAGACAGTGAAGTAGCTGATTTCTAGCTCCCACCACCAAGAGTTGCATTCTGGAGGTGGCACAACTTGCACCTCCCTTCACAAAATATTTTGAATCACCAGCCCTGTATTAGCAGGGCAATGTTTTACTCCTTTATTTATGTCCTACAGTAGTGAATAAGTTCTGTTTATCACTAAGGCATTACAATGCTTTTTATCCCACCAGCTGCCAAAGGCAAGCAGCTTCAGCTCATTTGTGCCTACACGATGATGACAGAGCCACACTTACACAAAAGCTGACCTCAGTGCACAGGGAGCTGTCAGTGTGAGCTGCCTTCCCAAATATCAGTGTTCCTCTGGTATTCTGGATGAAGCTTTACACCCCCAAAAAATAAATCAAGTATGCAGCGCAGGAAGTGGCCTTTCATAGTGACTCAATTAAAAACTGCAAGGGTAAGAACATTGTGGGTTCAGGCTCAGCACTGACACACTTGGAGGTCAGACCACCCCAACAGGGTCAGGTCTTCCCAGATCCAGCCCACATGCAAACAGGGCAGGGCTGCAGAGACAAGCTACATCCATTGTTTCAAACTGCTGCAATGAGTGCCAGGATCAGAGAACCAAGCTGAAATGCTGCAGATGCTTGGAATAGCCTGGTCTCAAAAAAAATACAGTGTAAGGTGCCTTCAGAAGACAATGAGGAAGGTGGGAAATGCCCTCAAAGCCGCTCAACTCATGCAAAACAGTCTTTCCTCTGGAGTCAGACAGGGGCTTTCAGAGTACAATCCCTTCCTTCAAATCCAGAAATACCAGAGTGAAACTGCTGGCAGGCTAACAGAACAATGTAGGATGAGGTGTCAGGAGTCTGTGGATAACACCTGGCTTTCCACTTCCTTCACACTGTGTGCCAGCAACGCTGGCTGCCAACACAGAGCCAGAAATCACTCAGCACCAAGCAAAGAGCATCTGGCTGTCACTCAACATGAACTGCAAGCACAGAGGGGAAATTTAATTGAGTCTTCCTCTTCTGGGATACCCAAAGATGTACATGAACTTACTACATCAGCCTGTGGCTTTAGGCACTCCTTTGGACACTCAGCCTGTGCTGATCCATGGATGGGATATTGCCTGATGAATTTATTGTCTCATCTCTCTAGGAACAAAGCTGCACCACCCCCCAGAAAGCTTCAGACTGGTACAAAATGCAGCCACCCACCTGCTCCACAAAAACGGTTGCCATGAATACATCTCTACTTCTCTGTGCCTGCTATTTTTAAACATACTTGGGAGGCAACTGAATTCACAACGGTGGTTGTGCTATTTAAGTCTCTGGATTAAAAATATTCAAGGAATATATTGGTACTTCTCAATATATTGGGAAATACAGCATCTGCCTGGCCTACACCTGGCTCAGATGCCTTTTCAGATGCCCAACTTCTGTAATCCAACTGCAAGGCGATAAACCCACAGACACAACAGATACTTTTATGTATCAGAGCAAGTAAAGTGAAATCTTTGAGTTTTATCCCTCAGAAGCCTCAGAACAGCCTAAGGAAACTTCACAAAGGGAGAGGAAAGGACAAACCAAAAGATTTACAGCTGAAGCTTTAGTCATTAAAACACTATAGTATAAAGCAAGGCCTGAGCACAGGAACACTGGAAATAAGAGTACCTGCCTGCAAGAAAATAACAATTTAAAAAAATCCAAACAAACCAGAAAACCCAGGAGAGGCAGATCCCCAAACCTGATGTGCTGACAGGACCTGAACCTTTTCCAGACATCCTTGAAATCCTAAGAGCATTTAGTCTTAACACATTTCAGACAGGTTGCCCTCCAGGCAGAAGGGTGAGCAGACTGGGAAGGGGGTCCCAGCCTGGTGTGTGTCCCACCAGAGCCAGAGCACGAGGCTGAGCTGGACTGGGGGCCAGGACAGGCTGATGGAGCCAGCACTGCAGGCTGCTCCTTCTGCCTTGTCCCCAGGTCAAAATGATCCCAGTGTCACCTGGAACTCATTGGGAGTTTCATATTCCCACCTCCCGCCACAGACATGCATGAGGTGTCAGGTAAGCTTAGTGTAAATAACCTGAAAAATCTGTCTCTGGAGGTTCCTGTACAACACTCCTCTTTCCACAGACAGCTACAAAAACTGATTTAATGTTTCCTGTGAAGAGTTCCTATACCTACTTCTAGCCTCGGTTTACAGACTCCAGGTGACAGGGGACACATTATTCAGATCAGTTCTCTGAAAACACATGGTCATGAAGAGCTACAGCTCAGTCACAGCCACAGACCTCCAAATAGCCCAGATCACAGAAGCCCAAATCGATTGCAGAGCAAACACCAGAATTTGGACACAAGCAGCTCCCAAGAGATGACCTGCCAGACACTACAACCTCAAACCCAATCAGTTTTGGAAGTGGTTGATTTCAGAGAAACAATCATAGATTCTAAACAACTTTATTCTAAACAACTTATTTCTAACAAAACATGTATACAGTATCTCCTTTATTTTAACCTTTCCCAGTGAGTATCAGAAAGGTGATAGAAATGAAGAGAGGAGCACAGAGCAAAGCCAAGGCATGACCTGAGCCTCTCCACACAGTAACTCTTCTGGAAATTCATCCTCCCTGAAGTTTCTCTAACTGCAACAGGGAAAAATATTTGGAGAAGGTCAAATGACTCAATACCACTGAGAGCCATAACTTTTCAAGCAGGAACAGGTTTCCATGTGCTTTCAGTTAGAGCACAGACAGGTTGGGAAGGCGGGAAACCCCCCAGCCCTCCTTGCCTTTGCTCGTTTCGGAGCTATGTATGTGTTTGGTTTTGAATTACAGTTGATTTTGCTGCTGGCACACATCTGCAAGGCTGAGCGAACTCCTGAACCCCAGCCAGCTCAGCAAACAACCCACACGGCTGGCAGCACCAGCACACCCCAGGGATGGCTCCCAGGAGCTGCTTTCAGGCACAAGGAGAGGGAGATGGACATTTCCCTGCACAGCTTTTCCCCAGACACCCTCCAGTGCCACTTATTGCAGGAAGTGGAAGGGTTAATTTCTTCCCAAGTTCACATACTGTTGGAATTCCTTAGATAAACTGCTTCCACCAAACCCAAGGATCTAGCCCCAGGGGAGAACACTAAGGAAAAGCTCTTTTGATAGATTTTCTTCAAAAGAGAAATTAATTCAAAGTCCATTTCTGGAGGTGTTCCACACCCTCAGCTTCTATGGGCTTCAGATGAGGTTGCATTGTGCCTCTGGAAAAAAAACCCAAGCTTTGAGCATTGCCCTAACACTTCTGTTTGCAAGACAGAAATGTTTCATGCTTGCCCAATAAAATCTTCTCTCCTGAAATGAGAAATGTAGTGCTTTGCTCCCATACAAAGAGGAAAACCAGACCCAACCAGGCTTTAGTCCTGGGATAAAGCAGTTAACAGCTAGCACAAACTAATCCTGTGCCTTTAAACCTGAGCAGTCACTCAGGAAAGTAAAAAAACAAGTTTTGAAAGCCACTGAAGGCTTCCTTCATATTTTGAAGCAGAAAGCAAGTCTGGGCTGTTATGGAATTTGTGTTTGCATACTGTTCGTGATAATCTGTGTGCATAGTTGGAAACAAAGCAAGTTTTTATTAGCAATTAGTAACAAGAGTAGGGACAGACCTGCCTGAAGGAGGCAGAGAAATGCCAATAGAGGAACCTTATAATGTGTGTAGCAGAAGGATTCCAACATGACATAGAAAACACTGCTGCTCTGAAGTGGGAAATGCAATGGCATCAGTTCAAGGAGATAAACTGGGTCTTTAACACTGACAACTCTGACTGCAGGCAGCAGTTTTCCCTTGCACAGCAATTTACAATGCAAAACAAACTACTTCCACCCTTACCAAGAGGAGAAATTCAGTATCAAAGGGGAGAGCAAAGCTGGGAAGGGCTGATTTGCTTAGACATAGCTTCCTACAGAGCTGAGTTTCAAGTAAGGCATGAAGGCAATAGAGAACGGGGTTAGAAACTGTGTGTGAGAACTTGGGCAAGGAGGAGGGGGAGAGAGGAGAGGATTTAATCCCCTTGCAGAGGAGGGACCTCCCACTCCCTCCCCTCCTCTCTGAAAAATTCAATCCAGCTCGAATCAGCCAACACCACCCAGGTTCAGAGCTCTCAGCTATGCACTTCCCCTGCTCTGGAGAATGATAGGGCATGTGGGGCCCTACAACAAAACTATTAAAATCCCATCAAGGGGTAAGCAAGTGGCTGCCATATGCTAAACCACTCAAGGGAAGAATAACCAGGGAAAGAAGCACAGCCAGGCAGCAAGCCTGCAGGCAGGGTCTTACCTGCTAGACAAACTAGCAAAGTCTCCTCCATCTAGCAGCCTGATCTTGCAGAACAGAACCCCATTGACAAAGGGGACAGCAGTCAGCTCTTCTAGAGTAAAAGTCGTCTGAAACTTGAATTTCTTCTTCTTCATCAAGAAAGCCATGGGCAAATTCAGCGTGCAGAGCTCAGGAATTCCAAACAAGATCAGGGAGAGGTGGCTCACAGCACAAACAGACGAGCAGAGGAAGGGCAAGTCGTTGTGGGAGCACAAGCAGGGGTGAATTCCAGTTCAGTTACAACGAGGGCCCAGCCTCAAACTCACGATTCTCTTCTCTTTGGTGGTCGGATCTGGCTGTGGGATCATCGCCACGGCAGGCTTCAGGTGAGCAGGAAGAGGTCAGATTAAATCTCTGCAACATCTCCAAGGGAAAAGGGAGGGAGGGAAGCTGGGTCTCAGCTCCAGACCAGCAGGAGCTGTCCCAGTTAGAGGCTGCAGTGCTCTGTCTTCAGCACAGCCCCTCCTGAAAGCATCTCTTGTGAGAAGTCATCTCAAGTCCCAGAAGAGGCCTTAAGTCTTTGGGCAGCACGTTCAAAGAGCTTCCAGTCTCTATCTCTTGTGCAACTCTTTGATACAGGTCTTTGGGTCAGCCTTTGGGAGGGAAATGAGTAAATTAGTTCCAGCCAGTCTCGGACTCCTCCTCCTGCTCTAAAACCTGTTTGGATAGGTAATATTCAGTCCAGACTCATTCCAGTCTGAAGAGGTATGGCCCCAATTAGCCCAGCCCCAACATCCTCTTTCCCCTTTTTGCCTAGGGCAAGCTTCACTGTTGTCATCCCCCTTGTAATTTCTGTTTTGCAAAGCAGCTAATAAAAATTTGCTCTATTTTCAGTCATCATATTTAGAAGCAGTTTACAGCGCAAGATCATTCTAATGTGCAGACTAACAAGAGGAAGGAAAAGCCGTCTCAAGAAATGCAAAATATGTTTCTTTCCTGCATTTCCAACCAGCCCTAAGTGTTAGCACCTGTATCTTATAAATGGAGAAAGCAGCAGAGAGGGGGGAAAAAAACAAGCAGGCTGCTCCAGATTACACAGCATAACAACCGAATCAGGTCATCTGGCTGTCCAATGGCCAGGCCCACCGGGAACGCTGCCTTCACCGGCTCTGCACAGTTCAGATCTGGGGCTGCAGACAGCGATTTCGTTACACATTTACAAAACACCTAAACCAGGGAGGCAGGAGCTGATTAACATCTCAAAGGGACAAGGTTATGAACACCGGGCAGTAAACAATCCTCACTGACTCCGGGAGCTGCCTGCGTGGCTGGGTGGGTGATCAGAGACCCTCTCCCGCCCCGTGGCTCTGCCAGGGCCCGGGCACCTCCACGGGGGCTCCGCAGACACCTCGGAGCAGAGAGGGGAGACAGATCAATGCTCCACACCACGAGCAGCACCTGTACCAAGCTGCTGCCAGGTCTCAGCTCTGGCTACTGTGAGGTCACAGCCTGTCCCCTGGCACTCCGGGGGACACACACTGAATGGTATTCAGGGGCCAGCTCCCTGTCCCAGCCGGGCGCTGAGCTGTGCCCCGGTCCCAGCTCCCTGTCCAAGCTGTGCACTGAGCTGTGCTCCGGTCCAAGCCGGGCACTGAGCTATGCCCTGGTCCAAGCTCTCTGTCTGAGCCGTGCCCAGGTCCCAGTTCTCTGTCTGAGCCGGGCACTGAGCCGTGCCCAGGTCCCAGCCCGGCAATAAGC